ACACACAGAAAACATAAAGGGTGAGAAGGCAACTGTTAGAATAGATCAAAAAACCTACAAACAATAAATGCTGGAGAGGGTGTAGAGAAAAAGGAACATTCTTGCATTGTTGGTGGGAATGTAAATTGAAATAGCCACTATGGAGAAGAGTATGGAGATTCCTTAAAAATTAGGAATAAAGCTACTACATGACCCAACAATCCCATTATTGGGCATATACCCTTAAGAAGCTATAACTAAATAAGACACATGTACTCCAATGTTAATTGCAGCACTATTTACAAAAGCTAGGACATGGAAGCAACTTAAATGTCCATTGACAGATGAATGGCTAAAGAAGCCGTGGTACATATTTATACAACAGAATACTACTAAACAATAAAAAGGAACATATTTGAGTCAGTTCTAATGTGCTGGATGAACCTAGAGCCTATTATACAGAGTGAAGTAAGTCAGAAGGAGAAATATAAATATCGTATACTCACGCATACTTACAGAATCTTGAGAGATGGTACTGATGAATGTATTTGCAGGTCAGGAATGGAGACTCAAACGTAGAGCTCAAACCACTGGTCTGTGATAACCAAGAGGGGTGGGAAGGAGTGGCAGGTGGGAGGGAGGTTCAAGTAGAAGGGGAAATATGTATACCTATGACTGATTCGTGTTGATGTATGGCAGAAACCAACACAATATTGTAAAACAACTATACTCCAATTAAAAATAAACTTAAAAAAGGGTGAGAGGGAAATTTTGCTGGTAATGGATATGTTTATGGCATAAACTGCAGTGGTAGTTTCACAGTAGACTTAACTCCAAACTCATCAATTTGTATACATTAAATATGTACAGGTTATTATATGTCAATCATATTTTAATAATTTTTTAACAGACTAAACATATTCTTGGGCTTCCAAGATGGCTCAATGGTAAAGAATCCATCTGCATTGCAGGAGACATGGGTTCGATCCCTGAGTTGGGAAGATTCCCTGGAAAAGGAAATGGTAACCCACTCCAGTATCTGTGCCTGAGAAATCCCATGGATAGAGGAGCCTGGTGGGCTATAGTCCATGACGTCACAAAGAGTAGGACATGACTGAGCAACTAAACAACAAACATACTCTTACCCTACAATCTAGTTGTAATGCTCCTTGGTGTTTAGCCAGACGAGCTGGAAACTTACATCCACACAAAAACCTGCATGCAGTTGTTTATAACAGCTTAACTCATATTTTCAAAAACTTAAAAGGCAACAATGGTGTCCTTTAGTAGGTAACAGGATAAGTAATGGAATACTGTTCAGTGCTAAAAATGAATAAGTTTCCAAACCCTGAAGAGACATGGAGGAACCTTAGATGTGTATTACTAAGTAAAGAAACTAATGCGAAAAGCCTACACACTGCATGATTCCAACCACATGACTCCTGGAAAAAAGCAGAACTACAGAAACAGTAAAAAGACCAATGGCTGCCTGGGACTGGGTGGGGGTATGGGAGTGGGGGGTGGGCAGAGGGAGGGACGAACAGGGCACAGAGAGGCTTTACTGTTGTGAAACTGCTCTGTATGACCTTATAGGGGTGGATGCTGTTGTTTAGTTGCTCAGTCATGTCCGATTCTTTGTGACCTCACAGATTGTAGCCTGCCAGGCTCCTCTGTTTATGGGATTTCTCAGGCAGGAACACTGGGGTGAGTTGTCTTTGTCTTCTCCAGGGGATCTTCCCATCCAGGGTTGGAACCCAAGTCTCCTGCATGGGCATGTGGATTCTTTACCACTGACCCACCAGAGAAGCTCATAAGGTTGGATACAAGTCATCATCCATTTGTCTATACTCACAGAGGGTACAATACCAAGAATGAAGGTAATGCAAGTAAGTGTGCTAGGTCAGGACTTTGTTTGCTAAAGTAGCTTCCTAGATTGTAGCAAACAGCCCACTCTGCTGGGGAACATTGACAGTAGCGGAGGCTGTACACATGTCCAGGAAGAAGACATATGGGAACTCTCTGTACTTTCTCCTCCATTTTGCTGTGAATCTAAAACTGCTTTAAAAAAGTAAACTTAAAAAACTTTTGGGCCTGGGGTGGTGGCTCAGTCCCACATCCTTCTCTCAGGATTTCAGTCTTGAGTGAAGGGCCAGGCCCTCCTTCCCCTCTATCCAAAAGTGGGTGGGCCTCTCAATCCTCATTCCGTTTGCTTGATTTGCATGCTGGCAGAGCCCGAGGCTCCCCTCTATTTGGATCTGAGAACACTTCCTCAGATCCAAAAGGATGTGACGGTGGCATCGCTTGACCACACCTGCCATGCCATGAGTGACAACTGCATCAGGCAGGTTGAGAATGCATATGATGGTGATCCCACTGGGGGTGCTGACTCTATACCCTAAATCTGACTCAGGTGAAGGCCTAAGAGTTCCCCCTCTGCTGACCTGAGACCTCTGCCTCAAAGCAAGCTCATCACTTTTCTGTTACCCTGAGAAGGATATGAAGCCATCTCTTTCTGACATTTGCAAGGATCTGCCATGGCAACAGGGAGGATTCTGTGAGGTCTCTGCTGATATGGGCTTGGCAGGGCTGCCCTCCTTCCTCCTGGCACACCTTAGAAATATTTCTCTCTACTGACCTGAGCCGGCCAATCTCAGATATAGGTCTGCTGACCTGGGCACCCTCCTAGGCGGGAGTCACAAGTCCCTGAGAACCTGAAAGTTAAGTGAGTGATTGCTCAGGCTGAGAACTTTGCCTGGGGCATGTTGCCCTCCCCAGCCCACCTGTAAGGGCCTCTTCCTCCTGGCTCCTATTTCTTTATTAAAAGTCTTCCTGGGCAAGGCCACATCCTGGCAACCTCTCGACCCATTTCCCTACTGAAAACCCTTCAGAGACCAGGTTCCCATCCCAGGAGTGATGTGACGTAGGGAAGTTGTAAGGCAAGGCAGGATGGATGTGCTGACAAAGGATAAAACACCTTCATCTATCCCTTCTCTTTACTAGCCACGCTTCACCTTTTATGGAACTTCTCTTTGAACAGTTTAAACTTCCAAAAGCAAGGGGCTGTCCAGGATGATTTTCTGGGCCCCTGATCATTTGGGTTCTGTGACTTTGGATATACAGATGATTATGTCACTAAATATTACCTTTCTTTGCTTTATTCAGACTTCTCAATTATTTTGATATGCTTATTGATGTGGTTACATATTTCCATCCAGTGTTTTGGGCACAGAATTCTTTTTATCATCTGACATACACGTTGGACCAGTCGATAAGAAGGTGAATGAAGGAACACAAAGCTGGCCTCCAGCTAGGAGGAATGGCAAAATGTGGGCATCAGACTTATTTAGGCCAGGAGTCTACTTCCAACTCTGTCATTTAGGAACTGTGTGAAACTGAATACCTTACCAAACTCTGCGAGCCTCAATCTCTTCATCGGTGACATGGGTTTCAGAAGTTCTGTCTCAGGGACTGAGAATAATACCCGTAAAATGCCTGGCCCATTGCCTGGCCTGTCCTGAGACTGTCAAGGATGCCAGTCCTTACTGTGATCAATTTGTCCCCCGGAAATTCAACCCACTACACTGTGGTTCATTTTTCGACCCAGGTGATGTCAAAGAATAAGCAGGGATCTAGGGCAAAGAACCCCTATCAGGCAAAATCCTGGTTAACAAGGAAAACTAGTATATCCCAGGTAAGAGTATGTCACTGAAGGTTACCATGAGGTAGACATCCTCAGTGGATGTAACACAAAGTTCCAAAATGTTTCAAGGGGCCCAAACTTACGTTATCTCTCACTTGCCCTTTTTAAATAAACCACTCCCACTTTCATTCATTTAACTACCCACAAGTATCTATTCCTTGCCTATTGTTTGCCAAATTACAGTCAGGATAACTTGATTAGAATGATTATTTTTTTTTTAGTGGTGTGGGCTCTGGCTCCCCCAGCGAGGGCAGAGTGTGGCAATCCAGTGGCTTCAAGGCATCATCCCACCTCAGGGGAGTGCCACCCTGATTTCTCAGAAACTTCGTGGAGATAAGGCAATGTGAATAAACCATCTCATCTGCACAGTGTTTACCTGTACTGGAACAAGAGCACAGGGTACATTCCATGCCAGTCTCACATGATTTCTCTCTGATTTACTCACAATCCCAAAGCACAGGCAGACTCCGAAAATACTACAAGTTTGGTTCTCAACCCCCAAAGGAAAGTCCATATCACAATTGAGTCACAAGAAATTTTTGGTTTCCCAGTGTTTTCATAAAATTTATGTTTACATTATACTGTAGGCTATTAAGTGGGCAATAGCATTATGCCTCAGAACAATATAGGTATCTTAATTAAAAACACCCATTTGCTTAAAAAAATGCTAATCATTATCTGAGCCTTCAGTGAGTCCATCTTTTTTGTTGCTGAGGGTGTGAACATTGCAAGAGTTATCAAAATGTGACAGACATGAAGTGAGCAAATGGTGTTGGAAACATGGAGCCGGAAGACTTGTTGGAAGCACAGTTGACACAAACTTTCAGTTTGTTAAAGAAAAAGAACAAAGAAAAGGAAAACAATACCTGTGAAATACAATAAATCAAAGTGCAACAGAGCAAAGTGCCTATAACTGTTAAGGGCAGTTTCCCATCCCAGGCTTTGTCTTTAAACTATGGGGCCCACCATGTGAGAACCTGGTCCCTGGTCAGGATTACCACAGCCTCATCCAGCCCACCATACACTCAACTTATAATTACTTCCCACTGAAGGACTTATATTTTCCCAAGGCCCACCACCACCTTGCATCAGGGAATTCACATTTGACTGCTGTCATGTCACCATTTTCTTTATATGACAGCTGCTTCTTGACTCTATAATTTTATAGTCAGTGGCTAGATCTTTTCCTCAGCTCTCCAAGTACTAGCATGGAGCCTACTATGAGCAGAGGCTCAGTTCATGTTTGGGGAATAAATGAGCCTGTGAGCATGAGGTTGAAATTATTAGAATTTATTTCAATATTTTGAACTAACCAGGCATATACTGTTGTTTATAATTTTGTAAAACACAGAGTACAAGGGATGAGGAAACCAAATACCGATCATCTTCCTTTTCCTCTATTTCTTGATCCCACATATTTTACTGCTTAACTTTTTTGTATTTTCAAGGAAATAACGTATTGCAATGCCATGTTATCTTTCACTGGCTTACTAAATAAGATGGAAGCTTCCCCATTTGCTTTACACAACAGAAAAACTCTTATCCTTAAGAACAACAAAAAATGGTTAAGTGTGACTGATGAGTTTGTACACATATATGCTAAATAAGCTTTCATTTAGGAGCAACATTTGAAAAGCAGCAAGAACATAAAAACACAGATTTAACTCTCAATTCCCCACATAGAACAGGAACACCAGGGTATTTTACACTGTGAACCCTCGGTGACGTCCAGTCCTATAGTACTTGGAGCACTGTGAATACTCTCTTCAGCCACAAAGGGCAGAATTTGCCTCAGCTTCACTAGGTGTGGAAGGAACTGCTGGAGGAACGCTGGGTCATCCGCTAGCTTGGGCCCTCTCTTCCTCATCTTTCAAAGCCTCGTCATACCAAAAGTGGAAGGCACTGGGTTCCAAATGGTTAATCCTGGCCAGGAACTCCAGGACTCTCATCTTGCTCGTTTCAGCATGCGCTCTTGGACCCCACAGGAACTCATAGCATGCTGGACTGCTGCCGGGCACTTGCCGATATTCCAAATACTTCAGCTGCACCAAATCTTGGGTGATGAGCTTCTTGGAATCCCCAAATAAGAAGTGCCTCTTCCCAGCATAGATTTTCATCTTACCCAGAAAATTCCAGATGTCTTCCTCTGTGGCGCAGTTGCCCTTCATGAAGATCACACCCAGGATATTCATCAGGAGACCGGTCTTGGGAAAACCCCTGCCACGGTGCACGATCCCGTTGCGGGGGAGATTCATCTTGCTGACAAGGACATAAGAATTCTTGGCAGTGTTGTCTTTCTTCACGTCAATACCAAATAACACCTCCATGCTCTCAGAAGCTCTTTTGAGGATCCTGAGGAATCGATTTTGGTACTTTTTATCGATGACCTTCAGCATATGCACTTTCCTAATGGGCTTTTTCGTCTTATACATGCGTAACAGGAATTGCACCAACTGATACGTCGGCCTGGTTAGTGAGCGTTTTCCAGACCGCACCTTGGAGAGAGGGGCCTGAGAGGGATTATCTGTTTTCCCAATTTCCTCAGTGACTTGAGAGGGATTATCTGTTTTCCCAATTTCCTCAGTGGCTTGAGAGGAATTATCTGTTTTCCCAATTTCCCCAGTGGCTCTTTTGGATGATTTTGTGGGAGAAACACCTGCAGGCACAGTGGTGGCGGCCAGCGCCCCCCGAGGACGCTTGAGACGCTTACCAGACCTAGCACCCGGCTTTCCCTTAGCATCAACCCCGGGACCAGGGCTGGAGGAAGAAGTGTGTGCTTCCGTCGTGGTGGCAGTGACCTGAGCGCCCCTCAGATCCTGGGTGCCATGCTGAGCCTGGCGGCGTTTTGCAGAGGTGTGGCGCTTACCCTTCTTACGCCGAGGCATGGTGACTGTGGTCAGGGACAACAGGCAGGAGCGCAGGTAGAACAGCACGTGATCTGGGCAGAGAGGAGAGAGGAAGAGAGGATGAAGCGCCTGTGGCAGGGAGGCACACTCTGCCTTTAAGAAGGCCCACTCTGCAGGTTTCCACGCCTGCCCTGCTCTGCGAACCCAAAGGACTACTGTTCTGATCGCCCTGTCCTCTGAAAACTCTGGTGAAATAATTAAGGTGAGACTCAGGTTTCAGCCTGCCAGCCCTGCCAGTTGCCTCCTGAGGCTGAGGAGCAATGGGCCAGTCTAGTCCTCGTGGACACCCCCCTCCATTTTGGAGGGTGGGGTCCTCTCGGTTCATATTCAGGACAATCGTATCAACTTTTGGCAGGCGCAGGGCCCCCTCCTCTGTGTGGTCTAAGCTTATACCCCAAAGCCCAGTCTTCATCTTCCTATGATACCTTAAGAGGTGAAGGGGCATTTCAGCCCAGTGTCCCTGGCGGGGGGCACCCACAGCAGTCAGCTCTAGGGAACTCTGTCCTGGGCTCACTGGGGTTCTCCGTCCTCTTTCACGGTCTTGCCTTGGCTCCTGGGACACCTGTGTCTGCTGCCCTGGTGCACCTCCTCTCAGACAATGGCTCTCTCCAATCCCATACCATCAGAAGGAAAGGAGGGTTCACATACACCTGACTTCATGCCTGGCTCAGTGCTGTGAGCCAGGAAGGGGGTGGTGCGGAGGGTACTCTCTCTTGATCCCCTGTTGGTGGGTGAGTGCAAACATCAGTTCTTTCAGGGTCCTCACCCGGACTCCTCTGAAGCCCTGGGCCTCCCACCTTGGCAGAATTGAGGTCATTCACTTAGTCCAACATTCTCACTTCTCTGAACTCTCTCATCTTTACAGATACTCTAGGTTTCTACATGGAAAAGGGCCAAAATTTATGAGAACTTAAGTTTAGAGCTGGTGTTCACCTTAGTCCTCACTCAGGTCTGGGTAGAACTCAGGACTCCTCCCACCAATAACCTGGGTTGTTCAGCCTCAGAGCAAAGTCCTCAATTCCCTGAGTCCCTGGAGGGGCAAAGTCAGGGTACTACATACGTGACTACCCTTCACTGGAGCCTCCCAGATATGTAGGCACTCTGCTTTGTGATACCATCCCTAAATGGGGAGGGGCCCCCAATCAGTACTTAGGGCGCTCACTTCACTGCAGTTAGGACAGAGGTATCCTCCATCTGCAAGCAGGAGCTATTCCTGAGACCAAAGCCCTCCCATCCCTGAGACTTCCCGGGAAGAACTCAGTTTGATGGCTCTGTTAGGGCTTCCCAGGGCTTACAGCAGCAGTGAGACTTGGTGTGGCCCTCTTTGTTATGGGCTGAGTGGCCCCCTGCCTCAGTCCCAACTCAGTCTTCACCTCAAATCTGGGCCAGTGTTGGGAATCCACCCTCCGCCGGCCAGAGGCCAGGCCCTCAAAAAAGTCCTTACTTCCTAGAAACTGTAGATCAGAAGTGAGGATGACTCGTATCCCACCATGATGCTCAGGGTCTCAGATAGTACTATAGGGGTGGGGGAGAATTCAGGGCGGGGGGGTGGTTGTTCTATGGTTCTCATCCGGCATCCCCATCTTCCTATCTATCAGGGAATAACACACCTTCCTTTACTGAACTGTGTCCACAAGCATCCAAACAAAGCTTCACCTCCTAGAGTTCAGCAGGGAAGTCCAGGAATTGAGTGCAAGGGGGCTGCTTTCTGTCACCATCTTTACTGCCTGTGCCCTTTTAGCCCTCGGGGCTCTCCCTGTGACTGGAGTTAGAGCCTAGATTTCCTTCATTTCCAGAATCAAGAAATCTCTTAGATTTTAAAGAATCTCTTAGATCAAGAATTACCAAAAAAGGAAGCCTAACAGCATTGTAGGAACTGTTCCCTGTCAACCACAGAGGCGAGACTTTGTCGGTTTTGCTTTGTTACAGGAGGGGGCAATGGTCCCTTGAGTCCACATTCAGGTCCTCACCATGCCTTCAGATCAGTCCTGGGAATCTACTCTCGTCTAAATGAACGCCCTGAATAGCAGTCAGAGCTCTTCACCTCCAGCATGGAAGTTGGGGGAGGGGGGAGACACTTCCAGCTAAGGCTGCCCTGTGTGGGATCTCTGAGGGATGATTCCAGGGGCGGGGCTTGTGGGGATCCCATCGTTTAGTGTTCAGCAGTCTCTGGGTCAACCCCTAGGGTCCTCTGTGTGCCGTGTGTCAGAGCCCGGGACCCCTTGCTCTATGGACTTGAGTCCTCCTGCCCCCAATCAAAGCCTTCACCACCCTGGGTCCCTAGTGGGGAGTCAGGGTGCTTCTCTGAGCATCTCTCCCTGACAGGAGAGGTGCCACTCTGTGAGCCTTCCTCCTTGGTGGGAGGGACCCTCTCATTATCACCGATGGTCCTCATCTTCACTGTGGTGATGACCAAGGTGCCCTGCTCTGCAGAACTGGGGTTTGATCCTGACAAAGCCCTTCCCTCGCTGAGATCAGACAAAAATTGAGAGGCTTCTCATCTTTATAACTGCCTGGAGCCTCTGGGGTTAAGAATAGGGGCAGGGGTCTGTAAAGTCTCCTCATTTGTGGGTCTACTGATACTTCTCTATCCAGTAAGTGACCTCACCATGATCCTGCACAGTCCTGGGACCTGACCCTCCAACCTGAGATTCTCCCTCCACTGAACTGACGCCATTCTTCTTAGCCGGAGACTTTGACCTCACAGAGAACTACAAGGCTTATAAGAGACAACGTCCACTCTGGGCACTCTAAGTCCAAGAGCAAGTTTGGGCAGGCCTCTGAATGACCTGTATTTTAGGGTTGTTTGTCTCTCCAGTCCTCACTCATGGGGGCCCTCATTTTGTTTACCTCTTGGATTAAATGATTCCTGGGAAAAACCACATGCCTGTAAAATCTTGAGAAGTGTCCCTAATGTAAAACTTACAGTCTCATGTCCCAGACTTGAGGTGAGATGGGGAATTGCCAGAGAAGGCAGGGGGCAGAATGGGGTACACTCAGAGAAAAATGCTGAACCGTCCTTTCTGGGAGGTGGGAGGGGGATTCAGGATGGGGGGGACATATGTACACCTGTGGCTGATTCATGTCAATATATGGCAAAAACGACCAAATTATTGTAAAGTAATAAGCCTCCAATTAAAACAAACTAATATCTTTAAAAAGCAAGAGTCACACTCTTATGTGAATCATTTTAATTGATTAATAGGCATACCTTTAAACATTGTACTTCACTTAATCATACTTCACAAATACTGTGTTTCATTACAAAATGAATGTTTACAGTAACCCTGCATTGAACATGTCTATGGTACCATTTTCCCAAAACCGTGTGTTCACTTGGGATCCCTGGGCCACATTTTGTTACTTCTTTAAATATTTTAAACTTTTTCCTTATTTTATTTCTTATGGTGCTCTGATCCATTCTCTTTGTTACATTGTAACTGTATTATAATTTAAAATTAAGGTATGTATAATTTTTAGACATTTTCCAGTAGGTATACAATAGGGTTAACAACTCTTATAAGCACTGGGAAACCCTGAAATCCCTGTGATTTAATTTATGGCAATATTCACTTTATTGCAGTGATCTAGAACCCAACTCACCATATCTGAGATATGAGTACAATTCTAAAGGAAAAAAGCCATCCAAGATGGCTTTGTGCTATTATGATTGAGGTTATCTGACACTGCATAGAGAGACGATCTTATTGTCATTATCATCTGTTTCTCCTCCTCATTGCTCTCATTTCCTGAGGTAGTCTTCAAGGTTTTGTGCCTAAAGAAGTGCATTGGAATATATCCAGAGTCCTTACTTTTATCCCAAGATACATTTGAGTGTTAAGGAACACTAGCTCTGCTTTAGGTCAAGGGGAGTCTAACAGTGTGGAATCTAGAGGAATTCAGAGAAGAATCTAATTCCAGGCCTATCAGTCACTAGTGTTCCCCAGCAAGGGCTCGCTGCCTGATGCACATAGAAGCCAATACTATGGAATGGGCTTCTGAGAGAAAAATTTTATTCCAAGGTGGAGTGGCAAGAAGACACGAGGCAGGGCTCTCAAACCTGTCTCAATCCAGAGTTTGAGGTAAAATTAAAGGGTTTAGGGGAACTGCAAACTTGGAAGCTAATTGGCTAGTCTTGAATTAGTTCATGTAAGCTATTCATGCTGCTAGAAGCCAGATTGTCCTATTGAAGGACTTCATACAGTTCTCCCATGGCAACATTCCTACTCTGAGAGTTCCACAGACTGAACCCTCTTGGTTCAGGGATCATCCTGGAAACGGGCTCCTTTTTGTACATGCCTGGTGCTGTCTCTAAAAATAACTCAAGGTATCATTAACCAACAACCTGTTTTAAGGAAGCAAAACAAGTTTAAATTGGTTGATGTTTTATGTTTCAATCCCCCCCCATCTCTCTTTGTACATTCTTCAATCTTGTGGGAAATCATCCTCAATTTGGTTAATGATTCTCAAATTCTGTACAAAATGATAATCCCAGGTCTCAAATCTGTGTACCAACCAGACTGGAGTATGATATAAGCACTGACAAGGTTGGATTAATTGGTATTTAAGAAAGGTAATTATCAGGTTTAACTTCCTTCACATGTCTCTTTATAGGCTATTGCTTTAAGTTTGGAGTTTTGGTGCCCGGATGGACTTTTATTACTATTGGGTCAGATGTCCTGGCTTTTCCTGGCCACTCATCAGCCCAAACTGAACTCTGCCGTTGACTGACTGATTTCTTTCACTGTAGTGCTCAAAATAGTTTACATCTTGGCCAGCAAACAGATCCTCGACCAACTGCCTTTAACCAATGCTTGCTGCCTCTTCCCAGCCTTCATGGATTGTAGCCAACATCAACCAGCACTCTTATGGTTGGCTTCCCCTGGAAAACCCCTGCATTCATGGGAGCTGTAGAAAAGCCATCAGGACTTATCTATCTGTGGCTCAGAGTGCTTTGTTCCCTTCTAGGAAGAAAATGG